GAGAGAGAGAGAGAGAGAGAGAGAGAGAGAAAGAGATGAGCGATACAAGTTTGGTTGTCACTTACCTGTGAAGCGAGCTGTGCAGTCCACGTGGAGGAAGAAGAAGCGGCCATAGCCGCAGAGCATTACCACCAAGTAGTGAAGGAGGGAGGGACCGGACAGAGGGGGAGAGACCGAGAAGGGAGAGAAAGCGGCCATAGCCAAGAGGTGAAGGGAAGGCCGATCAAAAAAAAAAAAAAAAAAAAGAAGAAGACAGCCGGGGTGAAAGGAGGCAATGAAGGTGAAGAGGAAGAAGAGGATTGGCGAGGAAGAAGAGCCGGCAGCCATAGCCGACCGGAGGGTTGACCAAGAGAGTTGACCGGAGGTGTTGACCGGCGGGTACCGGGGTTAACCGGGGGCTGATAGCAGCGTTGACCAGCATTGACCAAGACTTTGACCAAGCTGGAGTCGGTAATATCTCGCCAAGCCTATAGCCTACCCCTCGCCCTATGGATGTGCACACAACCCTTGGTACTTGCTGAGTCAAGCCAGTCTGTCTATTCTTTCTGCATTGAGTCTCTTCTGTCCTAGCTGATAGTACTTTGTGGATGAAGGATGGGCCTGGATGACGAAACCCCTACCTGACTTAGTAGAGCTGATACCGTGTCTAATCTCACTGTCCCGGAGGCCTAACCCTCCCAAGGACCGGTGCTGACCGGCGGGACTCGGATTGGGCGTGACACGGTGGGCTTGAACGGCGGAGTTGTGCACTGACACGACAGGCAGTCTTAAGTGTTGAGGGCCTTGTTGACCCAAACCCCTACCGGACCTAGTAAGGCTAAAGGCCGTGTCTGACAACTCGACTGTCCCGGAGGTCAAACCCTCCCAAGGACCGGTACTGACCGCCGGGCTGCTCAGTGTGGCACGGGAGGCCCGAAAGGCTGAGTTGTGGGCTGATGCAACAGGCCAGACCAAGCTGATCACGTTGTCCTGTTTGCGACGTTAAAGAATTCTTGAGGAGTTACGGGGGATCTCCTTAAATGCCTCCAGATCAGCAACAGGTCTAGTAGTGACAGCCATAGCATAGGTCTAGGCTAACGATCCTAGTTGGCAGGATCCCTGTCACGATTCTGTAAGTCCTTAGATTGAGTCAGTAGGTTTGTCAGTCAGGGGTTAGAGTCGACATGGTGAGGTTTGGAACCACCGCCCGGTTGTGCACTTTTCACCATGGTTGAGACCCGCAGTGGGAAGGACACTAGCCCCTACACCAAGGAGCAGCAAGAAAAGATGGCCGCCTTAGTTAAGGAGAATAGGGAGAGAAAAGAGCGCGAGAAGCAAGCGAAGTTAAAAGCTATCGCAGATGAGCAGGCGGCCAAGATGAAGGAGTTGGAAGAGGAGATGGAGAAAAAGAAGAAGGTTGTTGAAGAAGAAGTGGCAGCAGAAGAAGAAAAAGAGAGAATGCGTATTGAGAGTAGAGAGGCGAGTAGTGGCACGAAGAGAGATACAGACGCAGAGATGGAGAAGAAACTGAGTGAGTGGGTCGCTAATTTATCGTTGGGGGAAGATGAGGAGGCAGAGTCCTATGTGACTCCGGATGAGAGGGAAGCGCTGGCCAATGAGCTAGCAGCAATGACAGATCCTATGGAACGGCAAGATAGGGAGGAGGAACAAAAGTTAGCATGGAAGTTGAGGATGAAGAGGGAGAAGAAGAGGACGAGAGAGGAAGTGAATAAACTGACAGCAGAGGTGGCAAAGGTGCAGGAGTGCAGGAAGAACTGTTGGCCCAGCCAAATGACAATGCCAAGTGGGATAAAGTGTTGGGCTACCTAGAGGTGATAAGTAAAGCCTTGATGGAGGAGCGCCAGGCCAGTTGGAGTCAAGACGTAGCTTTGAGTGCCATGCGGTCGGGGTTCATAGACTTTGCGCGCGATATCGTCACCCACCTTGAGGGCGAAGTCAGGCAGTTGAGGGACAACGTAGGGAAGTTTTGTGAGGGTGCCATTGAGGGTGCCAAAGCAATAGCTGTTGTAGAGGGCGAGGGGGCAGACCCCGTAAAGAGTCTGTAAAGCTTAAGTTCTCAGACGCATACGGGGGTAAGAAGGAAGAGAACTTTGACAACTGGGAGGCCAGTGTCAACAATTATATATATTTACAGCACATCCTACTAGAGGAACAAGTCCTCGTGGCCTTCCACGCCCTCAAGGATGAAGCGGCTAGTTTCGCCAGGTCCCTTGCGCGCGCAGCCGGTTGTGAAAACAACCTGGTTGCATATTCAAAAGCCATCCCCCTTTCCCAATTCCTCAAGCTCTTGAAGGAGCAATTTGCCGACCCAACGAGAGGCATCCGCGCCTCTAACAAGCTACAAACGATCCACTCACGACAGTGGAGGAGTGCGAGAGCACTCAAGGGTACTATGGATAACTTAGTAGTCGTCCCGGACCATGGGGTCACTGAGACCCAATTGGTCCAATTATTTTATCGTGCCATGCCAGAGGCCCTGCGTGGGCACTTCTTTGATAAGTCTCAACAGGCCGGCATCACATATGATGCATTGAGTAGAGAAGTCGTCCTGTATGAGTCGAAGTCCATGCCAGTTACTACTTTTTGGCACAAGGACTTAGGTAAGGGAAAGCAGTGGAAGGGTCGTACCATCTCAGGCCAGGTGAGGGCCAAGGATCACATGATCCTTACGTTAGAGGAAGGTGGTACTGATGAGGTCCCATATAGTCAGATTGAGTGGGGCCTAGAGGAAGAGGATAGTAGTGTAGGACAGGGGAGGTCTTATGCTGTTGTCGCGGCTGGAGGGAGGCCGCAAGGTAGAGGAGGAGGCCAGCCAAAGGGGCCAGGCCATGGGAGGTCGAGGACCGGGCGCACGGGGGGTTGGCGGCCAAGGAAACCGCCAAGCGAGAGGTAGGGGTCAAGGTCCCCCGCCAAATCGCCAAGGTAATCGGTCCCCGCAGCGAAGAGGTGGAAAGGCACCTCAAGGAGGTTGGCACCAGGCTTGCCACAGGGCAGGCCCTAGGAAGACTTGGGCTTGGACCAACGTTTATGGCAAGAACGCGTGGACCAGGGTCAGTGCGTATTCTGTGGTGACCCGACCCACGTTATCAAATATAGACAGGCCCGTTGGGCTGCCCCGCAGTCAAAAGGCAACCGCCAGTAGGGGTCGCAACTGCCCCTACTTCAAGGCCATGTGGAGAAGTGAGCGCACGCGAACAGGACACTCCCAACCCACATGAGACTACGGCAGAGGTTGCAGGCCCGTGCCTAGCTAGCTGTCCAGAGACTGCTTGTGTTAGCGTCTCTTTAGGCACGTCCCTCACAGGTGCGGCGGAAGAAGTAAAGGAGAGGATGCCAGCCTGGGCCAAAATGAAGAAAGAGAGTAAAGGACAGCTGACTCTGGTGGATGTAGAAGTTTTCAGGAGTAGAGTAGGAGCCCTTATAGATTCAGGGGCCACCCGCAGTTACATTAGTCGTAGAGCGCTGAAAAAGTTGCGGCTAGGATTAAAAGTCCAAAAATTGGTAGACCCCATAGTCAGTGTCCTCGCAGACAACCCGCACAATGCGTGTTGAGGACTATGTAGAAGGAGTCCAGGCATATTTTCGCCTAGAGAAGGATGGGAAGGTAGAGAAAGTTCTCCATTCCCTGACTCTCCTCGTACAGGATGACCTTCCTTTTGATGTAGTACTAGGAATGGATTGGGGAGAGGCAGCAGGGGCCACACTCCATTTGAGAGAGCATGAGTGTAGGCTCCCTAGTCCATCAGGCGAGGTTAAGACTGCCCGCCTGTTTCATGTGTCAGGTGTAGACAACACCTTGGCACATTGTTGTCTCAGTGCTCCCGCGTTTGCGCGACTAGTGAAAAAGGAGCAGTTAGAGGACCAGGTCTTTTTAGTTTATGTTAGACCTGTCACTGAGGCCAAGGAGAAAGATAGCTCCACAAATCCAACGATTGCCAAGCTGCTGGAACAGTTCAAAGATTTGACTGAGCTGCCGACAGGAGTAGTGTCGCGATCGATCCAGCACAGGATAGAGAGAGAACCTGGCAGTAAAACTCCTAAGGACGCAGTTTACAGGATGTCCCCTAGAGAGTTAGAGGAGCTTCGCAAGCAGTTAGACGAACTCCTCGAGAAAGGTTGGATCAGGCCCAGTTCATCTCCTTTTGGAGCACCTGTCCTGTTTGTCCCCAAAAAGGAAGGAGAGTTGAGAATGTGTATAGACTATAGGGGTTTGAATGCTATCACAGTGAAGAATGTTGAGCCGCTGCCCAGGATAGACGATCTCCTAGATCGGGTGCAGGGTTGCAAGTATTTCTCTAAGATAGACTTGAAGTCCGGTTATCATCAGATAGAGGTCCATCCTGATGACCAGTACAAGACTGCGTTCCACACTAAATATGGGCATTATAAGTTTATAGTGATGCCCTTTGGACTAACCAACACGCTAGCCACCTTTCAGCGTTGTATGAATGATTTGTTCAGACCATGGTTAGATAAGTTTGTGGTAGTCTATCTAGATGATATCTTAGTTTTTAGTAAGACCCTCCAGGAGCACCAGGGTCATCTAAGGCAGGTCTTGGAGAAGCTACGAGAGGCTAACTTCAAGATCAACGCAAAGAAGTGCGAGTGGGCCAAGACACAAGTCTTGTACTTGGGCCACGTATTAAATGGAGACGGCATTAAGCCGGAGGACAGCAAGCTCGCGGCGATTAGAGATTGGTCGACGCCCTGCACATTGACAGAGTTGCGGTCGTTCCTAGGCCTAGCTAACTACTACAGAAAGTTCGTGAGGAACTTCTCCACTATCGTCGCTCCCTTGCGCAGGTTGCTTAAGAAAGAGGCAATCTGGCAATGGGACAAAGATTGTACGTCTGCGCTAAAGAGATTGAAGCGCGCACTGATAGAGTACCCTGTCCTCAAAGTAACTGATCCGTCCCTGCCATTTGTCGTCACGACGGACGCAAGTCAGTATTGGATAGGCATCGTGTTGCAGCAGGATGACGGCCATGGCTATAGACCCGTAGAGTTCATGTCCGCGAGGATGCCCTCAGAGAAGGTAGCCACCTCGACGTACGAGAGAGAACTCTACGCTCTCAGGCAGGTTCTAGACCACTGGAAACATTACCTGCTTGGGAGGCACTTCAAAGTATATTCTGACCACGAGACCCTTAGATGGTTGAAGATGCAGGCCAAGATGACACCTAAGTTGACTAGGTGAGCCGCAGAGATAGACCAATATGACTTTGAGCTTAAGCCAGTGAAGGGCAAGTACAACGTAGTTGCGGATGCTCTGAGTAGGAGATCAGACTACTTTGGAGCCATAGTACACTATCTGGATATAGGGAAAGACCTGCAGGAGAAAGTGAGGCAAGCATATGCGCAGGACCCTATCTATCGTGACCTCCTAAAGAGAGTTAGAGAGGCCCCAGAGACTGAGCCAGATTACCGCACTACAGACAGGTTGTTGTTTGAGAAGACTAACGTGTTTGACCGCCTATGCGTTCCCAACAACGAAGAGATTCGTAGTCTGATCCTAGGGGAATGCCATGACACCGAGGGACATTTCGATTGGCAAAAGACTTTAGCCAACCTGATGCGTGCGTACACCTGGCCAGGAATGAAGAATGACTGCATAGAGTTTGTCCGCAGTTGCAAAGTATGCCAGCATAATAAGACTACTACGCGCGCACCCCTTGGTCTTCTCAGACCCTTGCCTATTCCGGATCAGCCGGGAGACTCAGTGTCCATAGACTTCATGGACACCCAAGTCAAGAGCAGACATGGTAAAAGCCAAGTCATGGTCATAGTTGACCGATTTAGTAAGTACGCAGTTTTTGTTCCTTTGCCTGCAGAGGCACGCACAGATTTAGTAATACATAAGTTCTTTGACTTTTGGGTTAGTGAGAATGGACTCCCATTGTCAATAGTTAGCGATAGAGATAGTCGTTTCACCAGCCAGAACTGGCAAGAACTCATGAGAGTCTACGGATCTAAGTTGTTAATGTCGTTTGGCCGCCATCCAGAGACAAACGGTCAGACAGAACAGATGAACAAGATCCTACAGCAAGTTTTCCGCATGTACATTAGACCAGATCAGATCAACTGGGATGAGATGTTGCCTAAGGTAGCTAGTGCCTACAACAACAACGTGCATCTATCCACCTGCCGCACTCCCAATGAGCTGCACAAATCCTTTAGACCACGCAGAGCGTTCGAAGGACTGAACCGGGGTCAGATTCATAGACTACCGCCCAGTACCAGGGAGTTTGCGATACAGCACGAGAATGAATTAGCAACCGTCATTGAGAACCTCCGGAAGGCCCGGCATAGGATGATAGAACAGGCTAATAAGCACCGTCGCCCATCACAGTTCCAACTAGGTGACTTAGTGTGGGTCAAGGCAAAAGAGTTTGCACCTGAAGAAAACATCTCGCAAAAGTTACTGCCTGCATATAGAGGACAATGGCCGGTTCTAGAAGTCAAGGGCGGAGAGGATGGGCCGTCCTACACTATAGAGATCCCAGCACACCTCCACACATACCCCGTGTTCCATGCTTCAAAGCTATTGTCGTGTGTCACAAGTCAACAGTTCCCTTCAAGAAAATCCATGATCCCCCCGGACATGGATGGAAGTTATGACATTGACGGCATCGTAGATGAGGATGTGTTCAGAACAGGAGGTAGAGGTCATCCTCAGAAACAGTATAAGGTCCGGTTTGCTTATCAGGAACCACAAGACGACCGCTGGTTTACAAGAACAGAGCTTCTAGAGACAGCTCCCGACATAGTCAGAGCCTACGAACACGACAAGAAGGGTAAAGGTCCTGCCTTGGACTGAAATATTCTCGGAGGACCTCGAATTTAGGACGGCGGGAGTGAAACGGTTTTCACCTTTTAGCAGTAGCAGATGCAGTACCCAGGGTTCGATCCCTAGACCTCACCCTACCTATGTACAGTATCGGTGTAGACCCCGAGAGTTGAACCTGTGACCTGTGTATTCGTAGACAGTTGGTAGGTCTGTCGTAGGTCCATAGGCAGAAGGGGTTCAATCTGTAGGTCTATAGAGTAGAAGTCTTAGCAAGTTCCAGAAGTCTAGTTGTAGTCCTTCTAGAAGGTCGGCAAGTGGGCAAGTGGTCAAGTGGCGAGGCAAGTGGTGGACTAAACTGCAGTGCAATAGCAGTACGACGACGGTAGGATAGCAGTGAGTCCACAGACAGTCAGCGGTAAGGTCCAGTCAGTCCCAGTCCAGTCCAGCAAGTACCACGGGGGACTGTGCTCACCATGGGCCGATGGCAAAGGCCAAACCAACGAGTTTCCGAAGTATAAATCAAGAGGCAGCGCCCAGCCATTCATTCATTCCTGCGTGAGCCATGCGGAAGCGCTGCCACAACGACTTGTGCAAGGAGGTCTGCAGTGAGCCCGGAGGATGCAGTGGGCGAGAGAGGAGGAGTTAGCATAGCGATAGGGTAGAGGCAGCCATAGCTGCCATAGCTGTAGTTAGTGTGGAGTGTGTGTGTATGTGCGAGTGTCCAGGGTTACGCGTGTGGGATATCCAGGGTGATCCGGTGTGTGTGAACAGTGAGTTGTTTGGGTGCTGAGTCGCCATAGCCAATTGAAAGTGAACTCGTATTTGGAAGCCATACCTCTGAGTTTTGAGTGGGCGCATGTCGCCAGTTTGCTGCGTTGCTGTTTCCATGCATGAAAATGTGAATGAGTACGAGTCTGATTGCAAAAGTGCTAGAGCAAGTACACGTTTTGTATGAATTGTGCAAGGGCCGGGTGTATCTGACCATAGTTGCGGTCAGATACAACGTTGTCAATTCAATAGCTGGAGCGATGGCAATGACGATGACGATGGCGATGGCGACGGTGATGGAAATGGCAATGGCGATAGCAATGGTGGTGGGGGAGGGTATCCTACCGTCTTCCCCGAATACAACGTACCTTCAACTTGAATGTATCAGACCAGAAAGACAGCTAGTGTACACTCATGATCAGGGTGCATGCGTTGTTCTCGGGGAAGAAGGTAGTAGAAGAGTGCTAGATACTGGAGGAGGAGAAGGAGGAGGAGGAGGAGGAGGAGGGGAAGGAGGTTCGGGAGGGCGAGCGGCAGGAGGAGGGGGAAGGGGAAGGACAATGGGGAGCATGATGACTATAACAAAGATGAGGAGGATGTCCTAACTGCCAGACTCTGACAGTCTGACAGTCACAGTCTCACTGACTGTATACATTATGTCCGTCTCTCTGATTGTCAGACAGACTGTGAGACCGTTAGTTTGTCTGAATGTCAGACTATAAATCTGTTAGTCTGTTCCCTCTATCAATCTGTCTATGGATCTATGCCTTATGTTGAAGCTGTAAATGGAAATTATGGGCCTCGCTCCATTGCACAGTTTTCTAGATGTATCTGGAACGGGTAATGGTCCTCATACGTTCAAATGTTTGACTAGTCCGAATGTCTATAGACGTCACTGCGGTCCAGATACATGTAGCGAGGCCCTATGTACGTGTTTCACAAATCGATGTCTGTTTCCCAGTCCCCGTGTCTCAGTTTGTCAGGTTGTCGGTCTCCATGTCAGTCTCTCAACGGATCTATATTCGGCTGCAGTGCAATCAGACTCGTCTCATTCACACTTTTCATGCATGTAAACAGCAGCACAGCAAACTAGCGACAAGCGCCCACTCAATACTCAGAGATATGGCATCCAGATAAGAGTTCACTTGCAACTGGCTATGGCGACCCAGCTCCCAAACAACTCACTGTTCACACACACAGGATCACCCTGGATATCCCACACGCGACACTCTAAACACTCACACATACACATATACACTTCGCACTAACTACAACTATGGCAGTTATGGTTTCCTCTACCCTATCGCTATACTGAGCTCCTTCTCTCTCGCCCACTGCGTCCTCCGGGCCCACTGCAGACCTCCTTGCGCAAGTCGCTGTGACAGCGCTTCCGCATGGCTCACGCAGGAATGAATGAAAGGCTGGGTGTTGCCCCTTGATTTATACTTTGGAAATCGTTGGTCTGCCCTTTGCCATCGGCCCATGGTGCTCACAGTCCCCCGTGGTACTTGCTGGACCGGACTGGGACTGACTGGACCTTACTGCTGACTGTTTGTGGACTTAATGCTATCCTACCGTCATCGTACTGCGATTGCACTGCAGTTTAGTCCACCACTTGCCTCGCCACTTGACCACTTGCCCACTTGCCAACCTTCTAAAAGGACTACAACTAGACTTCTGGAACTTGCTAAGACTTCTACTCTATAGACCTACAGATTGAACCCCTTCTGCCTATGGACCTACGACAGACCTACCAACTGTCTACGAATACACAGGTCACAGGTTCAACTCTCGGGGTCTACACCGATACTGTACATAGGTAGGGTGAGGTCTAGGGATCGAACCCTGGGTACTGCATCTGCTACTGCTAAAAGGTGAAAACCGTTTCACTCCCGCCGTCCTAAATTCGAGGTCCTCCGAGAATATTTCAGTCCAAGGCAGGACCTTTTACCCTTTTTATCTCGCTCATAGGCTCTCACTATGTCGAGAGCTGTTTCTAGCAGTTCTATCCTTGTAAACCAGCGGTCGTCTTCCGGTTCCTGATAAGCAAAGCGGACCTTATACTGTGTCTGGGGACGACCTCTACCTCCTGTTCTAAACACATCCTCATCTACAACGTCGTCAATGTCATAGCTTCCATCCATATAAGGGGGGATCATGGATCTTCTCGAAGGGAATTGTTGACTTGTGACACACGGCAGCAGCTTTGAAGCATGGAACACAGGGTATGTGTGGAGGTGTGCTGGGATCTCTATAGTGTAGGACGGTCCATCCTCTCCGCCCTTGACTTCTAGAACTGGCCACGGTCCTCTATATGCAGGCAGTAACTACTGTGAGATGTTTTCTTCAGGTGCAAACTCTTTTGCCTTGACCCAGACTAAGTCGCCTACCTGAAATTGCGACGAGCGACGGTGCTTATTAGCCTGTTCTACGATTCTGTGTTGGGCCTTCCTGAGGTTCTCTACAACTGTTGCTAGTTCTTTCTCGTGCTGTATGGCGAACTCCCTAGTTCCGAGCGGTAGCCTGTGAATGTGGTCCCGGTTCAGTCCCTCGAATGGTCTGCGCGGCCTAAAGGACTTGTGCAACTCATTGGGAGTGCGACAGGTGGATAGATGCACATTGTTGTTGTATGCACTAGCTACCTTGGGTGACATCTCATCCTAGTTGATCCGATCAGGTCTAATGTA